AGCAAGTCAAAATAGAGTAAGAACAGGTGAAAGAATATTTAGATAAGTTATATGTATGCAGGGCCTCATGAAGTTCATCTTAGGGTACTTCAGGAACTAGCTGAAGCAATCTTGGAACTGTTAACAATTATCTTCAAGAACTCACTCAGAGGAGTGGAGAAGAGCAAACATAGTACCTATCTTTATATGTGTTGCCACCTAGGAGTTCATGGTTGTCACTATGCTGTATTCTGTGAGCAGTTGGAATCTCAAAGCAGCAGTAGGGGCAAAACTTAGGTCCTCCTGCTCAAAAAGTACAGGCCTCTATCAACTGAGATAAAGGAAAATCTCTGCTAGTTGTAGAATTATAGGATTGATGGTGCACAGTTCAGGAGTTCTGATTCTTTCCAGCAGAGAACTATGGTACATATACACACTAGAAGAACGCAGAAAGAAATTTATCTTTGAAGTACACAATAATATACACCTCTACCCCGATATAACGTGACCCGATATAACACGAATTCTGATATAACGCGGTAAAGCAGTGCTCCGGGGGGGCGGGGCGGGGCTGCGCACTCCGGCGGATCAAAGCAAGTTCGATATAACACGGTTTCACCTATAACGCGGTAAGATTTTTTTGGCTCCCGAGGACAGTGTTATATCGAGGTAGAGGTGTATAGTTCCATCAAGATGCTAGGATTATAAAATTCTAATCATTAGAGATAGCCAGTCTGGAGTAACTCACTTCATAGTTAAATTACCTCCTCCCCCACCCTCCAAAAAAACCCACCCCACACTGCAGCTTTAGCATTACTTTTATCTTTTCACTGGTACATACCTGTAATTAAGTGCACTCTAATAGAATGCAAATAGTAAGCAAGGTCATTATCCAACCCTTTAATTGTGATGGTAACAGAAATTCTATAACTGTTAGCCGTCTGCCTATAGTACAGTATGTGCAGTCAAATTTACAGTGTCCCATTCGCTTTGTAACAAAAACCCATGAGCCTTTTATATTAAATCAAAGAGCTCTCTGGCTAAGTGCTTCCTATTATCTGTGTGATGCATTGTTGTAGAAGTAGTGCAGCTAGCCATCCACTGCTCTCTCTCAGAGAGAAAAATCTATAGGCAAAGATGAAAGAGACATTACAAAAAATGTTATAAAGCCACAAGAATTTTTTTAAGAAAAACCTTGAAAGCCATAAATATATTTAATTGTGAATCTTTCTCATCCCTGTCACAGCTGAAAAGGACAAAGACACAGTCTTTAAAAATGAAGAGGAAACTCAACTAACTAAAATTAGAACCAAAAGAACTTGAACTTCTTTCTTTTCTAAGAAGTTGAAAATTCTCCTGGTGAAATGTGAAGGCCTATGGATTTATGTTTTAAAAAGATAATGGTTAAAATAGCCCAGTGTTTTTGGCATCCATATATAATACTTAACTTAATTTTTTATTTAAATAACATCTGTCTACTTATGTCTTGCATGTCATGTAAGTCCTGTCACTGAAGGCATTTAACAGTAGACTAGACAATTAAGAATGCGCTAGACAACCATCTTGCCCTTGCACAGGGATGGACGTTACCCTAATACAGTAGGGTAGCCTTCCTTATCTTGCCTATGATTTAAAAGTGTGAGTAGGCCTTGTTAGACTACATTTTTAGAAGGTGTTAGTGAAATCAAACTAGCTACCATGATCTGACAGCACACTTTTAAATCCTAGTCTACTCATAACAGGCAGGGAGAGGTAGAGCCAATGTGGGAACATGTGCTGCACCATCTTAAACTGTGGTTCAAGAGCCACACTGCCTATGCGCAGCAGGATTCTCCAGGGGGCACTGTTCTTCCTTGAGTCACAATGCCTTCTGGAGTTGCCAATTGTATTGTGCACATCTGCCCTGTCGCCAATATGAGTCTGTGTCTTTGAAACCACAGGGGCTACTCCAATGCTTGCAGTTAAGCATATTCCTTGTGTTTTTGCAGGTTTGGAGCCCCAAAAAAACCCCTATACAACCCAAAGATAGGGTCTGTTTATAAACTTTGAATGCACCTCTGGATTTGGATTGTGAACATCCTCAGACCTTATTTTGTTTGAGTTTGAATAGGTCCTTTAATGGTACAATTTTTTTTTTAAATTACATATATCTAAAAATTGTTACATTGCCATTGTACAATGCAGTTGTCACATTGCCAATTTAAAAAAAGTTTTATGACTATAATTTATGCACAATATCTAGCTCCTCTTCCCCAGGTTTTCTTACCTTTAAAATACTTAACAAAATGTAATCACACCATAACATCAGGGGTATTCTGAAACAAAAGTATGATATAATTTGAGATGGAAGGTTTTGCAAAAAGAAATGGAAGTAAGACAATACTTCGAGATAGATCTGAGAGTTTGGTTTAGGCATCTCTCTCTCCTGTATCCTGTTTTTAGTCCTTATTTGGTTTGATGTAGAGACTTAGACCAACATTGCTCTTGCTGAGAAGAAATGTTTTCTGTACTGCACTTTGTTTCAATGTTGAGTATGGAGCATTATATACATCAGACTTAGTCTCTAAATTCACTCCTCGCTTTCATCTTGAATTCTAATTATATTTAATTACTTAAAACATGGTGCAGATTCTCCATTTTCTTTAGATATTTGATCTTTTGACTGTTTGCTAATCACCGTAGTGAAATACAATAAACAGATCATGTCTTATTGAGAAGGTTTTATTTAAACAAATTTGTTTAAATAAATGGTTTTTAATATGGGGCACCATGTTTTCTGTATATTCTGAAGTAGCAGGTAGCATGGCAAGAGTTATGTGCTTAATAGGTAGAATTTGTTTGTGATTTCAAATTCAGGGGCTTCCAGAGTTTTGTGATTGGAATAGGAATAAATCAGGCCCAGATTAACCAATTAGCCCTCAGTGCACTTGTACAGGGCCCCCCAACCACTGGGGGAAAAAACAAAACCAAAATTGAGTGGTGCTGCGACCCCTCCTTGCTCCAGGTTGCAATGCCATACACTCATATTTGGCCTGGCCACCCCTCTTGTCCTGGGGGCGACTTGTTGGTGGGCTATGGAGTGAGTGGGGAGTGATTTGGAGTCTGCGGGGTTGGAAGCCAGTGGGGAATGTTGGGAGAGTGAGGTTGGGTGGCTGTGGTCAGTGGATCTAAGATGTTGGGGGCTGTCAGGGTAAATGGAGGGTGGTGGCAGATTGTTGGGATATATATGGAATGGGAGGGGTATTCAGGGGTATGTCTGTGGAATGGGGTGGGAGGGGCACTTGAGGGTGTGGATGTTGGGGGGGAGAGAGGGACATTCTGGGATCTATGTGGGGTGGGCTATGTATGGGGCAGGGGTGCTTTAAGGAAGGTGGGAAGTCCCCAATATTCTTAGTGTGTGAGGCTCCAACGTTCTTTAATCTGAGACTGGGATAAATAATAAACTGTCAGGAATCCTACCCGTAAGCCTCTCTATTTTGGTATTCTGCATAACATTTCCTTTCCCTTGGTTATAACTGTATATTATATGCTATTCAACTAGTTCGACAAGGTGCATGAGATATCTTTTACTGGACCAACTTCTGTTGGTGAGAGAGACAAGCTTTCGAGCTCACACACAGCTCTTCTTCACATCTGTGTAGCTCAAAAGCTTGTCTCTCTCACCAACAGAAGACGGTCCAATAAAAGATATTACCTCAAACACCTTATCTTTCTAATATCCTGGGACTGACACAGCTACAGCAACGCTGCATACATCCCACTAGTTAGCATTTATTCATCTTTTGCTGAAAACTACTCAATGTTAAGGCATTTTCCATGGGTATTACAAAGTTGAACATGTGTTTATGAAAAACAAGAGCTAAATAAACACCATTAAATTAATCAAATCCTCTGTGCCAGTTGTAAATCCAACACAAAGCTTTCATCAGCCTTATTTCCCTTCTACAGTTTTCAGTATGCCCCGAGCACTAAACTGCTTTAACAGAGAAGGTATTTGATCCAACTACATTATGGTACAGAGTTTTTTTGTTCACTTTTTTTTTTTTTTTTTTTTACCAGCGAAGTGTGCTATTCATACTGTTGTGCTAATTTGTTTGTCTGAGGCTGGCATATTAACAATTAAATACATCACAGGCACCTACATGCTAAAAGCTTTGGAGGCTTGAAACAATAGTGGGTCTTCTGACTGCCAAACTCTTCTTGCTCCCTAGAAACCTTAATTGTTTAGCTGTAATGTCAAGTGATTTTGATTTTTAAACTGTTATAATACAGCCCACAGATATTTCTGAGTTGTGTATATTTAATATGGAATTCCTCTTCATTATCTGTCCTAAACTACTGAATAGTGTTGCTTTGCACTGTTAGTTACTGCAATCCACACAAGAGGTGACTGCATTTCTGTGTTGGGTAAACTGTTGCATACAACGCACATAACACATATTCTGTTAAATAATTGGGATCTTTCTTGACTAAAGATATTGAAAGGATGGTCTTGTGATCAAGACACAGGACACGGAGCTAGGAAATTAAAATGTTATTCTTTGCTCTCCTACTGACTTGCTGTGTAATCTTGGGAAATCACTTAGCGCCTCTCTCTGTTTCCCCTTCTTTCAAAATGACCTGTTAACTTCACAAAGGTTCTGGGAGGCTTAATTGGTAATTGTGAAGTACTTCAAGATTTTGAGATGGAAGGTGCTACAGAAATGTAACATTTCTTATATAATTATGTTATCACAAAATACACTTACGATACGTCAAGTATAAGATATCTAAAGCCATTAGCCTAATGTATGTTATCTGTATATATGCTATGGAATGATTAGCTGTTATATATGCTTCATTAGAATATAGAAAGAACCACAATCTGGCTGAATTTAAAGGAACATAACATACATATATGTGTTTGATCTTGAGTTTTTGAAATGTAAAAATTAAGATGCAGAATGACAATTTGGAGGTCATATCAGCAGAATTTGGTTTTTGTCTTTCAGCATTGTTATTTTCTTTGTTTTCTTTTACAGTTTGCCCAGCTGGTATCCATCTCCAAAACTCTGGGTGTGGAGAAGTTCCCTCTAATTGAACAAACATTCTACCCAAATCACAAGGAAATGGTAGGTGCAAATAGTAACATTAAAAGCCAATTACTGTATGGATAGAACTGGAGCTATAATCACCCATGATTCATTCATTCACTGTCTATTTTTTTTAAATGTCCTTTTGGAAATGTCCAGTGGCATAATACTAGGTAACCTCTTGAAAGCATCTTTGTGGTAATTGAAAGATTACTGCCTTCAGCTTTGAGATAGACAAACTGGTTCTAACAAACGAAAGAATATAAATGCTAAAGTGCAGGGAATACTTTATGGAAGTGTTGCCAGTCTAGTCCTGTGTGATGCATCCCAGAATACTTATTATCTTATTAATGGAGATATCCTATCTCCTAGAACTGGAAGGGACCTTGAAAGGTCATCAAGTCCAGCCCCCTGCCTTCACTAGCAGGACCAAGTACTGATTTTGCCCCAGATCCCTAAGTGGCCCCCTCAAGGATTGAACTCACAACCCTGGGTTTAGCAGGCCAATGCTCAAACCACTGAACTATCCCTCCCGCTCTAAAATCAGGGTTGTTTCAGTAACTCTTATCTTCATGCACCTGAGCTGCTGCTGTTCACAATTCCCAGATTTTCTGCTCACTTAACAAATGCTCACACCTCACCCAGGGCCCCCACATACTTCATACCTTTTGATGCAATTCTCCAATGGATCTGGGGTTTTTCAGAGGCCCAATGTGGCTGCTTCCTTGAGCATCGTCTTTGAGGAATCGCCAAGTAAGGGCTACTACTTCTCTTAATCCATGAATTTCTGGGGGTTGAAAGTTTCTAGCCAGCCACACACGCCACATGGCACCAGGTGCAGATAACAATCCTGATCCTAATGCCAGCTTCCTATCTGTTAAACAAGCTGCTGAGGCCCCATAATCCCAACTCAGTAGTCTCAATAGCTAAGCAACCACATTAAGGAGGACAGATGTCATAATCCCTAGTGCATGGTTGCTAGGTAACACTGGGAGTTCCCTAGATAACTCACCAGGAATTTTGGGGTAGCTCTGCAGGCATCTCAGTTCACAGTCAGCTGGCAGCAGGAGCAGGTGAGTTTCACTCCCTCCCTTTTATGGGGGAGGGGAGCAGATGCTTTCTGCCTCCATATGAAGACCCACATATATGTTGGGATTCCCTCTGAGACCTCTTTCCATTCAGCTTCCTAAGAACTCAGTTCGACTCCCGCCTTTGTCACTCAGGTGTCTTTGTTTGGCATACAGCACTGCTGCGCTGAGTTGATCAGACTCAGACGCAGGGGGGATTGATGCAGGGTACATCACAGATTCAAAGTTACACACAAACCTTCTCCCTTTATGTACATTACACATCTCATTGCATTTACTATACATTGCATCACACTTTTTTGGATTGGCTTGGATACTTTTCAGGAACCAATCCCTGTGCAACATCCACTGCGCCTACACTATCCTTGCTTTGACTTCTTCTTTATCTCATCTCTACATTCCTAATTTCTTTTGTCCCTTGTTATCTAGTTCATAGTAAATAGTTCCCTGCGTATTCTCCTTCTTATCTTAGTTGGCTCAGACATTCTGTCTTCTTAGCCTGCTGATCTGTTTACTTGTCTTATTTAGCACAGACATTCTGTTTTCAACCTGATGATTTATTCCCTTCCCTAATTCTCTCTTCCACAAAATCAGACCTCCCTCCATGTGTTAATTACTCATATCAGGCCAGGCCTCAGCTACAATATGGAGCGGGTGAGGTGGAGGCTTTACACGGAAGCTCATTTAATAAGATACTGAAGGAGTCAGGACTATCCATCCGACGTCCTCCGAAGACCAGTGGAGATTCAAAGATGACACCTGTTCCCTGGAGTTCTCTGGGTGGGCTGCGGGATAATCTTGGTCCTTTCTGAAGATATCAAAAGGTGTAAACAGAGGGAGGACCGAAGTGCTGAGAGTAAATAAAGGTGATTGTTTTTCTGGAGATTCAGGTTTATGTAGAATATTCAACCTGCTAGCAAACCTGCAAGAGATGGTCCTCCACCCATATTTAGACCCTGCAGGAATCGCGTGACTGGCACAGGCTTAGTGTCTTATCTTGCAGCCTTCTTTTAATTTTTCTTTTATTATTGTTTCTAAATGTTTCTAGATTCTTCCATAGCTATATTTGTCTAGAGGAGAGGCATTCAACCCTGCAGAGCTGGAGAGCCATTTGCACTGGATCGAAGTAGCAATGAGGCACAAAGCAGTTTCAGCACAAAGCCCCAACTTTACCTTTCAATATCTGTTGTGTAATGTTGCATCATCATGACTCAAACGTACCATGTACTGCTGTAATGCCGTGATTTGAACATTAGCAATCAGCAGTCAATGATAGGTCATTGAACCATGATTGCTGTGTAGCTCCACTTGACACTACATTACTCTGGATAAAATCCTGCCTGACCCTATTAAAATCAATGGCAAAACTCCCACTGACTTCAGTTGATTACAGTTTCATCCACAGTCCCCCATCTCCTTCTCTGATCACTTCCTATTATTCTACTCTGTCTTCTCAGCTTTTGTGAGGGAGGCAAAATCCCTGTTCCTTTTTATGGCTGCCTCATGGAGAATCCTGGCTGTTATGGACTATTAGGTTAGCACTCCCATCCTTTCTCCTACCTCATGAGGAGCTTCAATAATAGCCACATATTTGATGTGAAAGGTGAACAGGAGCTCTCCAGGAAGAAAGTTACAGATCGAGAGCCATGAATCTCCAGCAGTCCAAACCCCCAAGGATCTTTTGAGAATAGGGAGGACTTTCCCTGACATGAGTGTAGATGCATTTGGTATCAAGGTCCAAAACTTGGTAATTTCTCCAATTTTTAAAAAGTGAAACATGAGAAATGAACAAGTGTCCTTTGTTTTGGGGATTAATTCATTATAGACAGATAATAAGAATCACACCTTTTCAAATCATAGTATACCTTTTCACATGCTAGATACTGTACATTTTGTTAGAGTACTGAAGATGGCCAAGAACAAAGCTGGTCAGTATTGACCTTCATGTGACTCATTTGTGCTCTTTTAATTATTTTGCTAGCCTATAAAAAGCCTAATTTTGCTTGTACATCTGCTAATTAGAAATTACAAAAATTGAGAATAAAATATCCCATTGCTCAGTCACAAGAATTGGTTGAGGTTCCAGTTAATCTGCTTGTACCTCGCATATAATGCTCTGCAGAAAGACCACCATCTCCCCAAGGTCCACTGCTGGCTGCTATCTTAAAGCATAGATTGAATTCAGATCCTGAAGTTGAAATGAAAATTTGGAAAGCTATTAATGTGTATTTATTTGTGAGTGCATAAAATATTGTTTGACAGATGATGGGATTGTTAACATATTGCAAGATGCATTTGAGAGTTGTTTCTTGTCCTCTTACCTATTTGGATTCTATACAGTAATAGTGATTGAGCAAGGAGGTTATTTTTTTGCCTTTTGTTGAACTTCTGATTGCAAAAGGCTTGACTGAGTTTGTGGAGTGTTGACAATTTCCTGTATAATGAATATTATTTTGAAGACAACTCTTCTTTGTCTCTGTATTGGATTGTCATGCATATTTCAAATGTGCTACAGTGACTGAGGAAAGCTAGATGTAGATTTGTTTGTTTGTTTTTCCCTCTGGAGGAAGTTTTGGAAACTCTGTGGCTCAGAAAAAAATATGCTAGATAGCTTTTATTGGAATTTCTGTGGAGAGATGTAAGATGATCCAGTGGGGGATGTTTTCTCAGTAGATGAGCTGAAGCCGTATCGGGGTAATGAATGTTTATTTAAATGTTATTAATATCCAGCTTGGTTTGAGATTGCTTTTACCTATACAGATAATTTCTGATTTTTAAAGAAGGTATTTTTCTTCTCTTCCTGTACATCCTGGACCCGTTTCTCCGCCAGGCATAAACTAGAACTTGTTTTCTCCAATTTAAAACTGTGATTCTTGGGATAAGACGGTATTCCAAAGCTCTCAGAATAGGAGATTTTGAACTCAGCAGGCTTGATGTACTGTTATGCTTCTATTTCTTTTGCTTCTTTCATACTCTAGTGATCATTTGTGCCTGGCCCTCTTGTACTGTTTTTCCAAAGGCAATAAAAGGTAAGTAAACAAAGATAGCATTCTCTGATGCAAGCTTGGGAGCTGCTTCTTGGAACAGGGACATTTCACTAAAAAAAAGTGATTGAAACCTTACAAAATGGTGCTTTCTGAACTCATCATAGCTTGGGTCACGTGTTTGCAGCTTTCCTTTCAGGAATTAGTTTTCTTTTTTCACTGCATTTCTGCCTCCTTACATTTTCCCATGGAAAAAAGTGCCCTGTTCAGGCTTATTTGTAGGACACATTGATAACATTTAATTAGAATGATTTTAAGAACAGGAAGACAGTATTTAGCTATTAATAACTAAATGATTTCAGTAATAACCTTTGCTTTTTTTTCATTTTGTTCACTTGCACAGCCTCCCTTCTCTTACGTTTTTCCAACTGTGAATATGAGTCAGATGAGTTACATTCAAATCAAGACTAAATGATATAGCAAGCTGTATTTCATCCTTGACCTTCAGTGTAACACAAACACACACACACTGAAGTTTTAGGAACTGGAAAGCGGACATTCTCTTTTAAAAATAGATTGTTGGTTGTAATACATGAATGCTAATACAGTGAAAATCTTAATATGAAAATACATGTTGAAAGCTTTACTGTAGATGATTTTTTTCCCCTACAGTCCTTGTAAATACTGTAAAATAAGTACTCATTTGGAAGTATCCTTTTAAAGCTCAACCTCCCCTTGTTATTAGAAAGACAGATTCTCTGTTCTCCACAATGGAAAATCTAGTCAGATTTAAGTTCAAACAGAAATCAGACTCAACAGACACTAGTTTTGAAACACCTTATGTTGGATAGTTTATGGCAAATCAATTGTAAAATGTTTGATAGACTGAATATAGAAAACTGATATTTCATATAGTAAAATTCATACTTAAGAGTTTTGCTTGAAATATAAATCATATATAAATATT